AGTTCCAAGGACAGAAAAGTCCTGTCTCAAAAAAAAAAAAAAAAAAAAAGGGGAACTAGAGAGATGGTCCAGTGATTAAGAGCACTGGCTGCTCTTGCAGAGGACCAGGTTCAATTCCCAGCACCCACGTGGCAGCTTACAACTGTTTGTAACTCCAATTCCAGGGGAGCCAACACCCTCACACAGACATGCATGCAGGCAAAACACTAATGCACATAAAATTAGAAAAAAAAAGGGGGGGAGACAGGAAATGGGTGTTACCAGAAAACTTGGGAGTCCCACAGAGCAATCATATACCAGGGAAATAGGGGTTCCAAAGGCACTGGGCTTTGCCCAACACCTGAAAGAGAATACAAACATAGGCCTTTCTGCTCTATCTGAGAGCCAGCAAGACTGCTCGGTGGATAAAGATGTTAGCTGTTGTAAACTGATGCCCGCAATGCATGCACACACACTGACTCAGGAGGTAACAATTTTTTTTATTTAAAAATTATAGATGATTCTTAGTGGCCCTCCACCCTGTGTTCATTTGCTGTGCTGTGTGAGCAGAAAAAAGAAACCCTTAGCCATTACACAAGTGCAATTTCATTAGAGGAACAGGAAAGAAAGGCTAAAACCGGTCCCGAAGAGAAGGTGTGGGCGAAAGCCCTGCAGAGACTCATTCCGCTCCCAAGGCCCTCGTCTCACAGCGCGGCCCTCTGAGAGACTTTCTCTGGACACGCTCATTGCATGAGTTGGCAGGCCATAGCGCCTGGGAGCTGGAGGGCTAGTGAAGGAGGAGTCAGATGGAGCAGGTTCGCTAGAAAGAGCAGCAGGGGTCGTCTCTGAGGAAGAGGGGAGACAGGAGAAACACAGTTGGACACGTATTTACATCTTCATATGTAATCAGGCTCCTGGCCTCATAGCACCCTTACCGCCCCCTAGGGCTCTGTGTGCGGCCTCTGAGCCTGCACCTCTCGCCTCCACCCTGGACCATGCTTCTTTGGGCTAAGGTCCGCCCACTTGTTTCTCCACCACCTGCTAAAGCCACTTCCCTCTGACCTGGGGACCTGGCTCCTACTTAGCAGGAGTGGCTCTACTTAGGAGGGAGGTTTTTTGTTGTTGTTGTTGTTGTTGTTTGTTTGGTTTGGTTTGGTTTTTGCTTCATTTTGATTTGTTTTGTCTTTTCAAGACAGGGTTTCTCTGTATAACCCTGGCTGTCCTGAAACTAGCTTTATAGATGAGGCTGGCCTCAAACTCAGAGATCCCTCTGTCTGCCTCCCTAGTGCTAGGATTAAAAGCATGTGCCATCACAGCCTGTATTTTTAAAAAATATTTTTAAAGATTTACTTTTATTTTCTGTGTGTCTTTGCCCGTGTGTAAGTGCACTAGGGGTATGCAGTGTGCACAGAGGCCGGAAGAGGGTGTCAGGTTTGTAACTGATTGTAACTGATGTTGTGGGTCACCATGGGGAGCCAGACCTGAGTCCTCCGCTAGAGCAGCAAGAGGTCGTGACTGCTGAGCCATCTCTCTGGATCCTATCTGATTCGGAATTATTCATATGTGTGTCTATGGGTGAGTGGGTACATCCAGGAGAATGCAGTGCCCTTGCAGGCCAGAAATGGACGTCTGAGCCCAGAGGCTGGAATTACAGGGAGTCTGAGTTCCACAATGTGTGTGCTGGGAAGTTAATTTTGATCCTCGGCAGGAGTAGCGCATGTTCTTAACCTCTGAACTATCCACCTAGCTCTCTTCTTCAACAGCAAAACAGAAACCCCACTTAGAATGGCATTGAATTTTATTCATTGTGCAGCAGAGGGGAACACGCACATGCCATTCCTCCCACACTAAAGGAGAATGAACTTGGAACCTTCCGTGCAATCCTGTAACTCTGACTGCAGCTTACAAACCCTACCTTAGACATGAGCTATTTTAAAGCAACCTCCTTAGCTGGGCCGTGGTGGCACAGGCCTGTAATCCCAGCACTTGGGAGGCAGAGGCAGGCAGATCTCTGTGAGTTTGAGGCCAGCCTGGTCTACAGAGCAAGTTCCAGGACAGACTCCAAAGCTACACAGAAAAACCCTGTCCTAAAAAATAAAAAAACAAAAAAACCCATAAATACATACATACCTACATATATACACACATACCTACATATATACATGCATACATACATACACATACATACATACATACATACATACATACATACATACATAAAACCTCCTTGACCTAGGGAGATGACTCAGCAGGTAAAGCCACTTGGCTGCCGAGACTGAAAACTAAGTCCCATCCTAGGCACTCAAGGGGTAGAAGGAGAGAACCGACTCCAACAAGCTGACCCCTGACCTCCACGTGTGTGCCGTGGTACTGGTATACATGCAAATAATAACTGAAGGGACACTAGCCCGCTGGAGCATGTGGCTCTGGCAGGCCTTGCCCTTTGCCCCCTTCCCTCTGCCTTGCTAAATGCCATTAGATTACATCCTCCTGGGGCTCACTGCCAAGGTCCAGCTGGCAAAGTATTAAGTCCATCAATCAAAAGTCCTCTTTGGCTCACCGAATTAACATGGCCAATTAAAGTTAAACACCTTGTTCTAACACTGTGGTGGTTTGAAAGAAAACGGCCTCCAAAGGGAGTGGCATTATTAGGAGGTGTGGCCTTGTTGGGGTGGGTGTGGCCTTGGTTGGAGTGGTGGTTTTATTGGAGGAAGTGTCACCATGGAGGTGGGGTTTGAGGTCTCATATCAGCTCAAACCACTCTTAGTGCCTCAGATCACTTCCTGTTGCCTGCAGTCAAGATGTAAGACACTTGGTCACTTCTCCAGCACCACATCTGCCTGCACGCCACCATGTTGCACCGTGAGGATAATAAACTAAGCCTCTGAAAATGTAAGCCACCCCAATTAGATGTTTTTTTAAATGTAAGAGTTGCCATGGTCTTGGTGTCTCTTCACAGCAATAGAAAACCTAAGACACACGGGGGTTCATCTTTTACTTTTAACCACCATTTTCCTATGCGCCACATCTGTCTCCTCATTATCCAGATAGTCCTTTGTCCTTCTTTGGAACAAATAGCTGCTCTGTTCCCTTGTTTCCTTCCCCTTCTTCCTCTTCCTTTATCTCCTGTGCTTGTCTCTTATCCCTCTCCTTTGTGTCTCTGGGGAAATAAGTCTCTTTTGTGCTGAGAACACGGCCTTTAGGATCCTGAGCTGATACCCATCTCTTTCAATAGCAAAATGTAAGCCAGGAGGTGATGGCACGGGCCTTTAATCCCAGGCAGAGGCGGGCGGATCTCTGTGAGTTGGAGGTCAGCTTGACAGTGAGTTCCAGGACCCATGGACAAGATGTGAAGCCATACCTCAGGTTCAGCTCCGGGTTGCAGTAGTGACAGTAACACTGGGGACGACAAGGACGAATGACAGAACATGGAAC